GAATTTTTAGCGGTCAATGAATCAAAATTAATTTAAATGTAGAAATACAGTAATTCTCACTGCTCCAAAATTCTGCAAAGACTGAATATTCGTCTCAAAGATGAAACCATACGAATAACTTGTGAAGTTTCCTCAGTCAAACGAAGGCTAGATCGTCTCGTTTTGGCACATGAATTGGAATTAAATGATTTTGAAACGTCTTTGTTCATTAGCCAGATCGTTGCAATCTGGCCGGCCAGACGGAGTCGCACCTCGCGGGAAGGGGCCGCAGCCAAGATTGAAGTTGCAGCTCGCTGTCCAGCACGCTCCACATCCTCAAAGATGGAGTTAGAACAGATAGATGTCGTACCAGAACTTTGTTGTTGTTGTTGAGGAGCCTTTGTGAGGCAAAGGTCATGAGAAGGGAGGGCAAGACCAAGAGTAGCTAGGAGGAAAAGAAGATCGGGCTGCGCTACATCAAGGGCAAGTAACGCTTGTCGAATTCTAGCAGACTGGTTATCATTCACAGTTTCTGTCGTTAGGACATGACTTGAAGTATCATCAAAACTATTTGACTTAGAAAAAGTGCAACGCTTTCGTCGACGATTAGAGGATGCTGTGTTGGAGATATGCTCAGATAAGGTATGCGTGTAGCTAGCACGGGAGCAATAGCTAGCAACAAAGATGAGGCCGCCGGTGACCAATAGCTAATTTTAATTAAAAATGGTAAAAAGAGACAGGAAATAAATTATAATAAAGAAGTAATTTGAATGCAATAAAACCAAAGATTAGCGTATATATAGAGCGATGGCAGCTAAAATGAGATGCCTGTGCAAAAGACATATATTCAATAATAGAAAGAGAAATCGCAAAGATAAACATGTGGGACAAAGGGAAATCAAGAAAATGTGATTGCAATGAGAAGAATCAAACCTAGAATCAGACTAAAAAGTAAGTCCTGTGGGTCCAACTGTGGAATGTGGGATAGGAAAGTAAAGGCCAGAAGCATGAAGATTACCACCATTGGAGGTGTAAGGCTAAAGATATAGATCACTATCAAATTCAGAGTGTGGGAACCGACCAGGGGAGAACACAATCAGTTGGCACCTAGTGTGGTTCTATGTTGTGCATTTTTCGTGTGTGCCTTAATCAGAGTTGACTGGGAAAATGCCTAATTAGGGGGGATACCAACCAACATACACATGAACAACTGAATATAACCTTAGGATTAGATGCGATCGTCAACTTAAGGCAAGTAGAGTGCGCTTTACGGGCTTCCATAGTTGAACCCACACCACTTACTTTTCAGTCTGATTCTAGGTTCGATTCCTCTCATTGCAATCACCTTTGCTTGACTTCCTTTTGTCCCTCATGTTTATCTTTGCGAGTTCTCTTTCTATTATTAAATATATGTCCTTCGCACAGGCAACCTTTTAGCTGTCCTCGCTAAATCTCCAAGTCTGCCCAGACAGCACGCGAAATTCTTGCTGAATCTCCTGTTCATCAGGTTTCTTTGAAGGAGGATGCTCATGACCTCCCTGATTTTGTGTTTTTTTGTGATCTCCTCATGAGGCCAAATTTTATATTCTATTCCTCTCAATTGTATGGTAGGTAAGGACAAAGTATTCAGCTATCTCTGATCTTTCCGTATCAATTTTTGTGTATAGTCGTTGGTGTTCTTTGATCCTTGTTCTGATTGTCTTTCCAGTCCTTCCGATGCACTGTTGCTCACAATCCTTGCCGTTTATACCGTAAACACCGAAGCATTCTATTTTGTTGACTTTTTCATGTTGTGTGAGCAAGATGGTAAAGTGAGTTCCTATTTCCTTCACGATTGTACAAATGTTACATTTCGATAGTAGCGGTCATAGATCCCGTTTGCAGTTTGCAGGAGAGTAGACATATCAATCATTTTTACTCTTTTGATTTCCATTCAAAATCCCTGCCCTGCCTGTGTGGCTACAATATCCGTAATAGAGAAGAGAATTATTCAGCAAAGTATTACAAATTCCTGGTCCTTTCAGGCCAAGGAGAAGTAATTGCCTTTCAATAGAACAATCATTTGGTGAAGATATCTAGCAAAACCTGAGTGTTTTATTTTTTTAAATACCATGCATCAACGTTCCTCACATGTACATTATGATCTAATATGAAAGTTATATAGAGATGTATCTCCACTAAATGAAATAAAAGACAATAAATAAAGCAGTTTAAAAGTAAATTACCCAATCAGAATGAAAAACTGCATCCTGCAACAGCTCAAGGATTGAAGACAAAAGACCGTGAGCCTCTGTGGCAGAAAGTAGGATTGACCTAGAAAGAAGGAATTTGATCTGACTTGGTTATAGTACTAAAACATTTTACAAAAGGTTCGAATTACAGACGTCTTGAGTGAGATTAAACTTGGAAATAGATGCCATGCTTCCTTAAGTTATTAAAAACGAAAAAAGAATCTAATATGATCAAATTTAAACTCTTTATTAACCTAATTTTTTTGAATGTCAGCAAACATTCCTTGAGACTAGAAGAAGCTCTGTCTGGATTGGCTCCAGTAGCAGAAATCAAATCCATTTGGCTGAATTTAAAGGTGAAGCGCAGGAGCTCAAGCGCGAGCCGATATCCTTTCGGGGACTTAGAGCTGTGACTGGCTGGTGGTTTAGTGGCCTCAAAAGAGAAGGAAGTTGACCAATTAATGGTAATCACTGAACCATTGGCGATAAGGCCACGAACGCGAGAATTGGCTTCGAGGAGACTGAGAAGAAGAGTCAATGCAGCCTGGTTAGGCGGAAGAAAGCATGAGGGAAAAATAAGAAGGTTATTGTATTGAATAAAAAACTTAATGGGCTCAATTAGGTAAAGCATAGCAGAAAAGGAAATGTGATAATGTGATAAGTCAACTAAGAAGCGTATGCGAGTAAAAATATTTCTTTGATATCTGATGTGACCTCTACGGATAAAAATGAGTAGATTAAAGAAATGGGTATAAATAACCTGCAAATGCTCCACTCGAGA